CTCCCCCGCCAGACCCGCTGCTGCAGGGTCTGAACGAGGAGGGCAGAGTGATGCTTGCACGGCTGCTGAACTTCTCTGAACTCCAAAATCCCGGGGTTTTCGAGTGTTAACCCGGTTCTACGGCATCACGGAAAGCTTAGGAACCTGGCTAAGGACGGGCTGGGGAGATCCCTGGTAGGAATATAAAGTGGCACGAGTAGGAAGCCTGTGCTGAGTGCTTTGCTCAGGTTGCTCAGGCTTCTTTGTGGAGAAGCTGATGAGATGTGAGGGATGGGATGCAGGGGTGTAGAGGCTGCTAATGGATGGTCAACATCAACTGGGACAGACCCATCGGAGAAGCGTCAGGCTCCTTCAGTGTCTCCCTGCTGGGTGTAAATTGCAAACCTTTTTGTCTCTTTCTCAGCTAATGCCTTGAGTGTGTTTTGCAGTGAAAGCGTCCCAGAATGGGTGCACGAAGTTATCCGGCCCATAGCAGCAGAACTGGAGTCCATTATGCCACAACCTTTTGCAAAAGAAATTCTAGGACTGTGCAAAGCACTGGGAATAAGTCTTGGAGATGGAGTCCTGCTTAACTTTGCCTATGAATCAACTGCGTAAGTATTTGGTACTTACAGAATCTGGTTGAAACGGATGTAGAGGCTAATTTTAGTTCAGCGTGGGAGAACACACAGAAAGTCAGGTGAAGGCGTGTGGCAGATGTACGTTCTCATGTTCAGCTGGAAGGTTTCCTTCTTATTAGGCCGTTTGTATCCTGAATTGAACAAGAAACACAGAGCAGTATTGTTACTGGTTAATAAAGGTAATGTAGCTGTACTGTTTTTGTGTATATATATCCATGTAAACATAGAAAAGTATGAAAATAATTGCTGCTAATAAGGGAGAGCTATCCATTCAGAGTATTTGGGTTCCCTTATCTTTTGAAGATCATGTTATGTAATCTTTTGCCATTTAAATTGTTGTATTTCAAAAGGAAACAAAAAGGAAACTAGAAGAATTAGTTGCAACATAATTAGCGTAACCATTAATCTGAGATAATGTTGTTTCCAAACTATTCTCTGGATGAATTTTCGCAATGTCTACAAATGTAACTCTTGGATTTGCACCATGTAAAATGGATGTAGTATCTCGATGACAGCAAACAAAACCTCATTGGAAAAAATACTGTTTCACTGTTTTTTTTTCCCCTAAAAGCATATGCAGGAGAAAAATACTTGATGTTGCCTGTGGGAATCCTAAAAATATTTCTTTGTTTAGGTTGTAATAAAAAACATGCAGAGAACCAGTTGTACAGATTTAGATTATTATTTTTCTTAACATGTGATATTTAGTTACAGTGATCCTTCCTTTTTGTAGTAAGGATTACTATCAGATAAAGTAGTCACTTAAATGCTGGCTTTCTTAGTATTTACCAGGGGACACTTACCATTCTGAGCCCTAGTAAGGTCCACAAAATTTCAAGTTTCTCAGCTCTAGATACTAAAGAAAAAAACAGCCAGGAACAAACTACTTGTCTGCAACATTTTTGCCTTTACAGTTTGGAAAGACAATGCTATGCATCACTGGAAAGGCAAACTCATAGCTCCAGAGAAAATAAATTCTTAATTCCCTGCTAATTGAATATACTTGATAAAGCCTGTTTCAACAAAACTAAAATTGTTATTAAAAAAGGAATTTCAGCACACTTCCTGCTCTAGAGAAGAGGTAAGACTGTTACTGAAAGGGCTGACATTCTGACAACAGCTGATGACCTTGTTTGAACTTCTTAACTAGTTATCATTGAAAATATAAATGGGGTCCACATTGAAATGAAATAATCTATAATTGTCAAAAGGAAATCCAGAATGTTTCAGACTGATACTCTGTGGACACCCCTGCATGTCAACTTTTCATCTCTATTCAGAAAAGAAGTAAAATGAAGCCATGAAACTTTTCCTAATTGGAAATGCTGCTTCCTACCTGGTCTGTAATACCTGACCTGGTGCGGACAGTAGTGCAGCTTTTGACTTTCTGAGCCAGGTGGGATCTAATAACTTAAATATTGTACCGTTTCATCTCGTTAGGTTCTGTGGGAAAAGACTTTCCCTTATGGACGTGATGTATAAGTTGTCAGAATGTCAGCGTTGTGTATTTATGCAGAGCTTCACTCAAACCTTCCTGTCCTATTTTTTTTTTTACTCATTTTGAAATCAAAAGCTGTAGAAGGATAGGCTGACGTTATTCTCTTGGGTTAGGAAGCATAAGTGTTCATGATATAATGCAACTCTTACGTGTACGCTTAATAAAACAAGTAAAATATTAAGTAGAAGACTTTGCAGAAGATGGATTCGGTTACTCCCGAAGTGTTGAGCTAGTTCAACTAGACCATAATATTGAAAGCGTTGTCATAGCTTTTCCTAAAATAATTCTTTCTCCTTTTTGTTTGTGAAGGTTCTGTACTAGCATTGTTGCTCAGGATGCCAAAGGAAACATTTACCACGGTCGGAACCTAGATTACGATTTTGTGGATATATTAAGCAAGATAACAATTGATGTGCAGTTTATAGAAAGCGGGCAGGTATGATCTGTGGTTAACGTGGTTGGGTGATGCTCTGGGATGGAACAGGGTATGATCATAGAGCTGTGTAGGCAGCAGGATTTGTTTTAGGAATGTGCTTCCCATCCCAAGTTTACTGGATTATTAGAGCACCACAGTCTCTCTCTAGGAATGAGGGATGAATGCTGATTTTCTTTGCTTTCTGGACGTACAGTTTGTGGTGATAAAGTGCAACAAATAGAAGAACATAATCTAATATCTCCAGATTGTTATTTGGAAGGAGATGTTGAAAGAAGAGAGTGTTGCAATATTAAAAAAGAAAAGAAATATTAGAGAATATAGGAAAGAAAACAGCTTTGGCAGGGACCATTTCTAAGGCTTTTTTCTAAGGTTGTGTTAATTTTTGTGACCAATGTGTGTGTCTTAGGTGAAAATTTCCAAAAATGAATTAGCTGCTACTGCATTCCTTGTTCATTAGTCTGTTTTGCAAATGGAAAATTATTTGTTTGGCTCTTGTTCTCCATTTGTTAACTTTAGCAAAACTTTTGTAGCAGTTGTTAATGACCATTAACAAATTAAATGCAGTGACTTTTGGTCCTCAGTCTTTTTATAATTTACTTTGCAATTTTTACTGTAATTTAAGGCAAAGTGTTTTATAGCAACTTATATATGAAAAAAAGGAAAAAAATACAGGATGCTCCTTCAGAACATTGCTTATATTTTATGAAGTGTTCTGTTCCAGAATGCTAAAATCCTGCTTGTTTCCTGGTTTCAGGTAGCATATCAAGGCACCACATTTCTTGGTTACGTAGGCTTATGGACTGGACAAAGTCCACGCAAGTTCACGATCTCCGGTGATGAACGAGGTAAAATAAATCCATCTTCCACGCCTGACGTTACGTTCACTATCACAGTTGATTTGTTGCCTGCTCTGGCCCTTCTCTCACATTCTCCCAGAGCAAAAAATATGATTCAGGTTGCCAGGAAGGAGCTGAAACTAAGTGACTTCCCCACGCCTCGGGGTGAAAGTACACATGCTGCCAGCTGGCTGCTGCATAGGAAAAAGGCCTTGGTTTGTCAGCATAGTGTCATCCAAGCTCGATAAGTCTCAAAGGAGATAGAGAATCTGGGGAAAGACTTAAGAGACAAATTCATGTAGCCTGTGGAGGTGGCAGAGTCTGGGTCAAGATAAAAAGATGCAATTATATATAGTAAACTAACAGCTGCTTTTCTATGTCTCTGTCCCCATAAAGCAGCTTGAAAGAAAGGATGGGAAGAGAGGTGTAAGACACACAGACCAAGGGAAAAGGCAGCAGGGCTTGAGAGGATGCATGTGGATACTGTGAAGGTGGATGAGGGAAGATCTGGTAGTAGAGAAAAGCTGAGAGATGTCACTACTGAGAACTAAAACTTGAGAATAGAAAGGTTTTCAGCAGTTAGGAAGGGTTGCTGCCTTTTCCATCTGAAGGGTGCTTCAGTTTCACAGATACTGATGGGTATGTCCAGCTCGGAGCTTGGGTTTGCCTCTTCCATCCCTTCTCCCCCTCTTAGTTCTTTTGAAGAAGCAGACACTTCTTTATTAGCTGTTTATTAGGACTGTAAACTATATAGTCCAGGTTAGGACCAACATCTAAAATAAATGTGTACTTTTCACTTGTGATGTTGGTAGGCTTTTTTCTTTTAATTAGACAATCTTTTAAAAGTTGTTTTTAGATGCTATGCAAATACTATTCACTGTATAGATCATATACATACTAATTACCTCCATGAGTAAGGATTCTTCTGTGGAGCATGATTTTGATTCCTCTTTCTTTTGTTAATACTGCCTTGTTGTGCCTAAATATCCACTGTTTACAGTGATTGCTGCTTTATCTGCCACTGTACAACTGAACTAAACATTCAGGGAAATGAGCATGTGAACTATAGCTGGAAAGGAGGATGACTTTAAATTAGGGTGAAGGTCTGTCAGGTGACAAGCATATTGTTTCTGCCAGTTTTTTCTGGGTTTGGCATATGAATAATTATAAACCCAACCTTCTCTTTTTCTTAGTTATCACTACCTCATTTTTAGCTGTTTCATGATTTCTGTGTAATTCTTCCTGTCATTGTAATTTAAGTAAGATGAATAATGAGATGATTAATGCTCATATTTAAGATGACAGATATAGACTGTTCTATCATATGAACAGACCTGCAATCCTTTTGGAAATGTGTGTTATTAAGTGCTACTCCTCATCAGTCACCTTTACTCTTCACTGCTTATCATTCAGCTATGATTAAAAACCGAGCAGCTAGCAAGTTGTCAGTACTGAAGGGAATGCAGTAGGTTGTGATTGAAATTGCTAGCACTGGCAAGTTCTGAGAGAGACTGTGTGTTCTCTCAACACTGTCGCTGATATTTGTTTTCCACTGTACCTCAGACTCCCTACCAGTTCATGGCACTCTCTTAAGGCATTGGTCACAGGAATATTGTGCCTTTCAGAAGACACCAGAATGCTAAGATAACAATCACTCCTGTCATTACAAGTCTGAGATGCTTTCTGGAAAGCTGGGTTTTAATCCAGCTGCCCTGGTTGAACTTCAGTTGGGATTACTCTGTTTGTTTATATATATCAGCAGTTTTACCTGGATGTTATGCTCTTTGTTAGCCCCTCTCCTGAAACGTTGATGTTTTATGCTGGTAACATAGCTGCCCTGTTTCACTGAGGATTGAGCTTTCTGTGGTACTTTAATCTAAAATCTAACGATGTAGAAAACTGAGCATTTGAAAAACAAGTTTAGTAAAATGGGGGGTTTACCAGGGTACGTTAGCCTGGTTATACAGCACATCCTGCACATTCTATCTATAGATACCAGTAAAGTAACACAGAAGAAAAGGAGTGCTATCAGCATTCAATGTTGTTCAACAGTGTCAGTAAGTTGAGGATGGGACAGAGGCTCCAGCTGCTTTCAAGTGGTGTGTGCTTTGTCAGTGCTGTATAAGTTCCCTAAATTGGATGTTTTTATGATAGTGGTAAAGTGAGAGAATTAAAGAATTGATTGCGCTGCTCTTTGGTAGTGCAGTAGAGGGAAAGGCTGCAGAGCTAGAGATGCGACACGGAGAAGAAAAGAAGGCAGGAGGATAGATTTCACAGAGCATAAGTAACATGCATGTATAGTAATTTCTCTTTTCTTTTCCAGCGGGTGGTAGATGGTGGGAAAATGCAATAGCTGCTTTCCTGAATCGGAATTATCCTGTCAGCTGGCTTGTCCGAGACGTAAGCGCTCCCAGTTATTTCCTTGTATTTCACATTGTGATGTCATTTGTACTTACCAACTCCTGGTAAATTTGATGTTCCAACTTCTAATTTCAAAGAAAATTCAATAAATTGCTAAGTAAATGCATTTCTTAGGAGGGGACAGGCATTGTCCTCAAATGGTCATTGATGTGTATGAGAGAGACATTTCCAGTCCTTCAAGGTAGGAATCTCTAAATCAATACTCAAAGTCTATTGAGAAGCTTTGAGAAGACTTCCTTCCTAGGGGGTATTTCAGGGAGCTAGGATTTGTAATTCAACAGATTGAGGCACCTGCACTCTTAGATGATTAGTATCTGATGCAGTGGTTATTTTGCACTATGTTCGATCTGTTACCCTACTAAAAATGCAGAGTTCAGTGATGACTGGCAGGAGTTAGACTGGTATTTTGTATAGCACATTTTATTAATATTTTGTTAGGGGTACTACCAAGATAAAACAGTTTTGTCTGCTGCTTCTCAGATTCATGAGTTACAGTAAATCGGAATTGTGTGGTTTGTAGGTAAACTCTCTGCAGAACTGAAACGTCTACTGGAGATCTTATTGTTCCTGTTTTTTTGAGTTTGAGGTGTGACATGAGGCTGTAACTCAGAACTACTAGCTGCAGCGTTGCTGTCAGAAATAATTATTCTCCAGGGCTTTCCCTATCTTAAAGATTTTGGTTAATGCATGTTCTCCATATTTGTTTTCAGTTCCTGCACAGCATTCACTTTTAAAAACGTACTTGAGTAGGTTGTGGCCCTGTGCTTGAAAACAGCAGCTACATTGGCTGTGGTGGAACTGGCAGTTTGTGCCGAGTTAGTCACCTGGTTATGGGAGGAGAAGCCAGGCTTGCTGTAAGCAATGCCTCTGCCTTACCACTGGCACCCAAATCCTCTTAAACTACTGGCAAGACAAAGACGTGGAGAGGGTTTTTTTCCCCCCTTTCATCCACTTTAATCTATACCATTGTTCCCATTAAAAGACTTTGCTGAGGATTGAATTTGCAGAGTAGGGACGTGCCTCTGTTGACCATAACATATATGTGTGTGTATATATATATGTGTATGTATATTTACTGTTTTTTTTAATATTTGCAAAGCTGTGATGAATGAGTTCATTTACTAGTCACATGCATTTCATGTTTATTTGCTAGTCAGTTTGGAAAACTGTTTTCAGAGGAATATTTTCAAGTAGCGCTTTACAGTCAGTTGCCATTTTCAAAAAAACTGAACCTTTTGTTCTTTTTAAGATGTCCCAGCGCTCGTTTTTGTGCTTGACTGTGTTCTGTGACCTTGATTTCACTGTCATCTCCTTTTTGCATTAGACCCTGAGCAGAGCAGAGGACTTTCAGTCAGCTGTTCTCAGACTAGCGGGCGTTCCCATCATTGCTGAAGTTTACTATATTGTAGGAGGTGTATCACCCAAAGAAGGCATGGTCATAACAAGGAATAGAAGAGGGCCAGCAGATCTCTGGCCTCTTGATCCTTTAGGTGGAGCGTAAGTAGAAAAAAAAAATGGTTTATTTTGTTTCTTTATACTCCCTCCTGAGGGATAGGCAGGGTTAGTGACACGACTTTCTTAAGAGACACAGTTTCATCCCTTACTAATGCCTACAGCTGGACAGGGAAAGCTTGAAAGCCTCTGAAAGGAACCCCAGTCCCTTTTCTTTGAGAAGGAATCACCTTGTCAGGTTGGGGCAGTCCAGGCTGGAAAACGCATCTCTATGTGTTTATTTTTAGCCAGATTCTAAAGGAGACAAGACTTGAGGGGTTTTCCTGTCTGTCTGCCAAGTATTGCACCAGTAAATTCAGCACTTCCAAATTAGTATTGACCCAATGTGTTAGAAAGGTTGAAGGGCCAAAAATAACTGTTTCTATGAATTTTGTGTAATTAGCAGCTTAATAGATGAAGGAGATACTGAAGAGTTGCCCTGCAGTGAAAAATGGCACTTAATGACCATGATCAGCCAGTCAGTACTGGCTTGGCAACAGCCAGATGGCCTGTTGGCGCCAGGCACTCCAAATGGGATGCTGCAGGCTGTGTTGTACACATACCCAGAATCCTTTCTCTGATCTTTCTTTTTTGTAGTCAGTAGTAGTTTTGTCACTGGCACCACCAGGACTTCGGAGGTCGCTCCTCTTTCCTTTGTGTTCTGTAGTTTATGATAAAGGCTGCTGTGTGTATCAACAGAGGATCCCTTGGATTTGGAATTCCAAGACACAGAAAAGAGGCTTTGGAGGGACTTTTTGTTCCTTTTGGCAATACAGAGATATTTATTCTTGTCCTTTAATGTTTGCCTGTTGTTTGCTTTTATGTTTGTGTGTTGTGTTATAGGTGGTTTCGTGTAGAGACAAACTATGACCATTGGACCACCCCTCCTCCTTTTGATGATCGAAGGTAAATTTAGTTTGGAGCTCTGTGGTGAGGTAACACTTCTATTTGCAAAGAGCTTAGAGACTTGGGTGTTTTCTTCTCTGAGCTGGTGTTAGCTTGTTGAGCAGGCAGCTTGTTCAGTTTCTGTAATGCTGCTCAAAAGGGAACAGATGAGGTAAGGACTGATATTCACATATGCCAGAGGAAGGTCTGTGTGGCATTGAATGGCATAAAAGATGAGGAATCACAATGATAAGGCATGTACCAAAAATTTCCCAATGAAGGCAAGTTTAGTAAAAGTGAAAGGATTTAGATTCACAGTGAAAAGATACTTGAAGGCATTAGGAAGGTGTCCGCAGACATCATACAATAGAGTAGCTTTGGCAATATGAAAGTAGCTTCAGTCACACAGAACTCTGGATTATTTTAGGCCAAAAGAAGCATTTTAATGCAAAGGGATTTAGTGAGAAACTTTTCACATTGGTTCTTTGTAGCCTTTGGACCACTAAAGTGTGTTTAATGATACTGTGTTGTTTTTCTGCAGAACTCCAGCCATCAAAGCTCTCAATGCTACTGGGCAGCAGAACATAAATTTTGAAACGCTCTTTAAGGTATTCCTTTTAAATTCATGTAGAATTAACGTATTTAAAAGGTATTCCTTTTAAATTCATGTAGAATTAACGTATTTAAAAGGTATTCCTTTTAAATTCACATAGATTTTGACTTAAGATTCTTTTGCAAAGCAGAAGTGCAACTGCATTTTTGTCAGGGATTAAAAGCTGTGCAGGGAAGGCACTGTGACAAAGGTATACTGCACAACCATGTCTGGAGAGATTAATACTGATGAGTTTGTTAAAATGTTTCTGAACTCCCTTGCACTGACATTTCATAATAGTCTGCCAATCCAAGTGGAAAGAGCAAGAGGTGAATCCCATCACCATCATCTTTGTGCAGTTCCTAATTTGAAGCACAATTATAAATATTGCAGCAGGCAGATGAAGTGTTAGACATGAGTGATATTTACCAGTTAGTTAAATGTTGTGTATTTCAGAGGGTCTTTAAAAAAGATCTTTGTGAAATGGTCTGATTTAAAAAAAAAAAAAAAAAGCCAGCAAGAGAAATCCTTGACTTTCCATTATTCCTTTCCATAATTTCATCCTACAATTGTTTCTAAATAGCCTTTTAATTCCCTCTTCATTAACCAAAATGACAACTCTTCAATCTTTCTGTACAGGTGTTGTCAGTGAAGCCAGTCTTAAACAAGTAAGTATTGGATTTGGAGATGTTAATCAGTGCCTCCCACCATGCCTCAGGGCACTTGAAAATAAATAACAAACTTTCTGTGCATCTGTCTGAATATCTTGTGGTTTTCCAGCTTAGATTTCTGCTTGTGCACATGGCATTCTGTTTTCACTTCCACAGCTCCCTTCCTCTTGGGTCTGCTGCTCTAGCCAAGAAAGTTCACTTTGTTAGATTCAGTCTGGTAACGAGAAGTTCCTTTGTAGTGGTGAAACAAGTGACTGCTTAGAGGAGCAGCTGGATTTACTGCTGAGTCATTTGTGCCTTTCAATTTTGGAACCTCTAGATTTGTGTTAACACTGCAAATGGTTTTTCTCTGGAGTTTCTGATGTAGCCCCGCTTGATGTGTAAAAAGGGAAAAAAAAAATAAATGGGGACAAAGCTATTAGGTTCCATTTATTGGATTTTTAAAGAGAGAATTCAGTATACTGTTATTGTTCTGCATTGTTCCACAAATTGCACTTTTGCAGGTTATCCTGTTTTGTTTTACTTCTATATGGAGCTCAGTATATTCTCTGGATCAGCTGTCTGCATTAGAGCTTGGCAGTTGCTTCTCCACACTTAATACCATCAATTCCTCACCTCTGATTTATAAATGTGAGGAAATTTGGAAAGAAGATTATAACTGTATGACTGCTAAGATCAGCAATACTAATTTTTAAATTCGGTGATCAAATGGATGCTGAAGTACAGTGCCTTTATGTACTAAGTGGGGGAAAAAACCCCTAAAAATTTGTGCCAGCAGCCTGCATTTTTCTCAGTCTCTGTCCCACTTTTTCTAACCCTTCTGTACCTAAGCAGAACCTTTGTTTCCACTAAAATTTGTTCTGTTGCTCTTTAGTTTTATAAATTAATCTTCTTGCCTTTGGAATGTCACATGCTCATTCTTTTCCTCTTCCCCTACCAGTAACACAGTGTATACCACAGTCATGAGCGCTGCACTGCCAGATAAGTACCAGACATGGATCAGGACTGTGAGGTGAAGGGGGGTGAGTAGCTTTCTAGTACTCCTAGCTACCTGCACTTCAGTGAAAATGTCATCTGAAGAGTGACTGAGGGACAAAGCACTGCAGTGGCACACAAGTGACCTAGGCTGAATTCCTGATTCTCTCCTTGGTTTGCTTATTGACCTTGGGTAAATACCTTCCCTTGCTGTTTGAGATAGAAGTATTGACTTTCTTTGCAAAACCCTTGGAGATTATCTTGGGAAAAGTGCTTTATCAGAGAGGAAGGGGTGGGTGTTGTTGTGACCTAAAAGTAGAGGTTCCCTCTATAAAAGTTTTAGCTGTTATTTTTACCAGCCTCACTACTGTGATAGATTTCACATGTCTCAAGGTTGTTGACTACGACAGGAAGCACCACCAGAGGGAACTGAATCCCAGCAGAAGGGGTTGGTGCACTTGGCACCCAGAAAGATCTAACTTGTGACAGCTGTTCACAGGCAACTGAACTCTTGTGTCCTGTGAGTGTTTTGTCTTGTGAACTTGCAGCTGAAGTCAAAGTGCTTGAACTCACAAGGTGCCTCAGGTGGTGGCTTTAATGTGTCAAGAGAAAGAGACTAAGTTATGTTTATTTCTCTGCCAAGAAACCTGGGTTGCCTGGTCTTGCCAGGAGCACAAGAAATGACATTCCAGTCTGAATAGTTTTTTCAACTCTTATTAGTGTTATAGTTGTAGCAGTTATATTGGGCATTTGATTTTAGCTAGAGTAACTCATTTCATTTAGAGATTCTGAAGAACTAGTTTATTTCTTATCTCTATACAAACTCTTAATTTTACCTATTTATCTTTTTTTTTTTTTTTTTTCCAACAGACAAAATGAATGAAAAACCGAAGCTTTCCAAGACTGGCTTATGCTTTTAAAATCTCTCTCACAAGCAGTACAATTGTTTTGGCTTATTAATTATGTGAACCATTCAGGAAATAATGACTTGTTGCAGATGATACTGTTAAATAACTGTAATGGAAGTTTGATTTTATTGTAATTACATGGATGTTTGTTCTTCAAAAATTGCTTTTACTGTTTTTGGAAGGAGTTGTGCAACTTGAATGTACTTATGTGCTGACTAATAAAAAAATATTTCATATATTTTGTGTGGCCTGTAGGTCTGAATATAATAAAATAAAAATCTGCAGCTGGTTGCTTGATTTATGAAAACCTGTGGTATGATTCCTAATGTCATTATGCTTTTCCCTGTGCTGTGAGGGGTTTGTGAAGGAGAGTCTAACTGGATCAGATGTTATGCCCAGAGTGAACTGGACTGGGAGAAGGGGCTCTGCAGAACCCTCTTATAGTGGCAGAACAGGGTGACCACAAGTCCTGGTACTATTTAAGCCTTTGTTCAACTGCATCAATTTGTCCATCCTGTCCTGACTTGCTCTGTGGGACGTTCCTCAACAACGAAAATTACTGTACCAGTGCAAAGGAATGTGACTTTCCATAGTGTGAATTCCACTGCAGCCAGTCTCTCTCCCTTCAGCTGTGGTTCTCAGGTGCACAGGCTCTTCAGCTATTCTTAATAAGCTTATGAAACCTGACTGAGAGTGTAGCAAAAAATATTTCAGCTGGGAGGGACCTACAATGCTCATGTAGCCCAACTGCCTGAGCCCTTCAGGGCTGACCAAAAGTTAAAGCATGTGGTTAAGGGCACTATCCAAATGCCTCTTGCACACTGCCAGGCTTGGGGCATTAACCACCCCTTTAGGAAGCCTGGCCCAGTGTTTGATTAGTGCAGGGAGAGCTCTAGTCTATGGTGTTCTAGAGAAATCAGGAACTATTTTAGGAGGTGGGATAGTACAGATTCCCCACCCTGTAGATGGGATAAGCTTGTAATGGGATAGCAGTGAGGTTAGTTAAAAAAGGGGATGGTTTTTCTTATATCTATACTGAATTTGGGTATTTCTTGAGAACACCCCAGAAATACAGAAGGATTTAAAGAATCAAGACCAGTGGGTACCTTCAGGTAAAGCTTAGAGGTCCTGTTCTTCACTGGACAAAATTCCTGCTCATGCCAGTGAGAATTTTATCTGGGAGAAGGAAGTTTAATCAGAGTGTAAGGTCTGAGCACCATTTTAAGATGTGTCCTGTGTCACGTGCAGTATTTGTGCAGGGGTTATGCAAACTGTTCCTGAGAGAGCTTTCTGGAGATGGGGGCCCTTTATGTCCTTGTGCTGAGTCTGACTAAGTGTCATAACCTACTTACTTGCATCCTCTACTTTTGCCTGGATAAGTGCGCTGCAAGCTTTGCCTTGACCCACTTTGTACAATTACCTTAGTAGTCGTATGCCAGAATGGGAAATTTGAAAAACAGTGTTCCTGGAGGAAGGTGTGAATAACAGTGGTGGTGATATCTTTGAGATTTCAGAATGACATCACTTTAATTCACGGAGCAGGCACTGACTCCTGATCCCAGCAGGTTTCCTTTACGTAACAGCCACCCACAAATAAAGACAAAGGGATCCTTACAGGTGTCATTCTGCATCGTCTTATTGACCTCAGCAGTGTTAGGCTGATTATCTTCTGGCAGTGGTGTGCCCAGATTCTCAGGGGTAGATAAATTTCATCAAATCTGTTTGTTTTAATGTGTACAAACAGATCTGGAGTGTATAAATACTCGGTATCCATGAACGTTTAGGAAGCAATTGTGTGCTCCTGTCTTGTTTCTGTCTCATCAGTTGTTCAGAGCTTGCTCTGGCCCAATCATAGAGCAGATAATTGAAATGTGGGGCCTTTTTTTGAGCTCCAAACAAAAGAGGAAACTAAATCTGAAGAAGTCTAAATTTTATTTTAATTTCCTTTTGTTCTTTTCAATTATTATCTTAAAAAAGCCTTGCATATTATCTGTTTATAAATATTCAGATATCCTGACTGCCTAATAAAGCCTATATACCAACTTGACTTATTATTTTTGGTTTTGCTAACTGAAAGGATATAGAATTTTCTTGTCTCAGTTTAATGACATGCTAAAAATACAAACACAAAGGAAGTGGTAAATGACAAGTCTTACAAACTAGATTATTTAATCTGTGAAACGTGTTGAGCTGCTTTTGTGTAAGAATTGAAATTTGATAAAAATACAGAGAGACAGGATGGTTAATCCTTTAAATAAAACTATCTTAACAACACTGGAAACATTAAAGTGTAGTGCCTGTTGTTTCTGGAGGCTTTGGGTGTTTTGTGGGATCTTGTTTCTTTTTTAAATAAGGAGGATTGTTTGTGTTTGTTGGATCTGCTTGCTGATCGTCCTTCTGTTTGAGACCTCATCTGCTTTGTGTGTCTGAGATTGGGATGTAAAATAGCTTTTCTGCTTTCTCAAGCCCAGTTAGATTCATGACTTAGAATTGTTAAGTAATTAAATAGAACTAAGTTAAATACATTATCCTTGCTGCTTCCATCCTTTCGTTTCTGCGGTTTGGATTCCCTAACTACTAAGCCCAAAAGATTTTTCAGCCCAACACAGGAAATCAGTGAAACCTTTAATTCTTTTTCCTCCAGAAGTTTGCATTTAGCTACAGACAACTTGAAAGTGTGTAAGAGCTGACTGTTAAAATGACAAGAGGCCAACATACTGTATTTCTCATTCATAATCCTCTTCAGTAATCCTAATCCATTTCAGATCTGTAGCCTTTCTTAAGCATCACATGGGAGAGGATTCTTAAGGCTGCTCAAAACAACTGTGCAGGAAATAAACCGAAGGGTCTGCACTTGTTGCAGAGAACGGCACGCACATTCCACGCTGCAGATGCTGAAAGCCATGGCGCTTTCTGCTGCGTGCCCAAGGGAACAGCTTACTTGATTAATTAGATTCTGAGAAGGAGTTTCTGAATCTGTAATTACTGAGAGATTACTGATTGCTCTGGGTACTGAATAGAAACCAAAATTTAAAAAGTGGAGACCTACTATTGTGTTTATGGTAGTAAATCTGTGAGTTAGGAATTGGTGGCAAGGTAAGTTGCATTTTTATTTTTAATTCTCTGTAAGAATGTTTTGTGTTCAGAAATAGTTAGCACTCATAGTCTGAGGTAAAATACCCTTTTTATACATCAAGCTGCATAAAACTTTAGTTGGTAGTTTTCCACCTGAAATTCTCCTTTTTAGCACTACAGTAACTGCAGGTGCAGAGGTCAGTGCCTGTGCAAAATAAAACAAGCTTCACCATCTTGTTTACAGCTATGAGACATGCAAGTCTGGCGTACACATAAGACATACATGGTATTTACTCTAGGAGGGCAAGGCAGGATCATCACTTTCTCTAGCACTAGCTAACATTTTTATTCTTGGGAGAAGTATATGAATTTTTGTTTTAACTTACTGGTAGTTCTTAAAACTGTTGCTGTTTTTCTTTTGTCAGAACTTAAAATTTCACTTTCCCAGGTTTTCAGGTTTTTCTTCCTAGTAAACTTTCAGTAAGTCTGCTGTATCCTCTCACTGCCTTCCAGATTCTGCTCATCTCTTCCCTCAGTTGTCCAAATTGTCTAGAAAATTGTCAAGTTAGTGGGGATTCAGTTGTGCACGACGGGAAGTGTGTCATCTTTCCTAACATCTCCAAAGATGTTTTGGAGTTAGCTTTGTGTTAGCGTCGGTGTTCCTTGCAGGAAGACTTTGCTCCACGTGGGTGGAGCACCAGATTCTGCACAGCTCTGTAATGTGCACGAGCTCCTTGGTGGTGATGTGACAGAGTGTGCAGGACTTGATTAAAATTGCTGTCACTGGCTTTGTTTTTTTTTTTTAGGAGTAGAAACAATATTTATGGTAAACCAGGAAATTTGCCTAGGCTTTTGTGGTTCTTGTTTTGGGGTAATGGACATAAATTGTGTCAATTTGTGCAAGTTTTCCTTTAATGAGTTTTATATGGTATTACTAAACAAGTCAACAGCTTGTGCTTTAAGAGCTGCAAAAATTAGTATATATTACCCATTGGCTTGGGAGGTGAATGTGGAGTCTGGCTGTTAAATGTTTCTTCTGCTTTTAGAACACTAATTCT